CATCATTTTGTTCGCTTCAGCCACGTTGATCCAATCACGAGTGATGTTTCAAGAGCAGGTGCTCTTTATATAAACTTCATACGCTGTTCGTACCGTTGAGCATGTCAAGTATGAATGACTTTTTCAATTCCAGGTTTCACGACGTATTGCACCGTCCACTTCCATGGATCCATGGTCTGGTTAAATGCCCCCCTCCAGGCAATTAGGAGAAGGGGGACAGTGAAACACGCCTTGAAATCATGTTTTGGATAAGCAGTGCATCATTCCTGTAGAGATGGGACGTTCGACCATGGCGTTGCCTCAACTTTTAGATGGCGCTGAGCTTAAGCCAAAAGTTTTCGTTTCAGTACTGTAACAAATGAAGCGGGAAGTAAAGTTTTGACGTCGAGGCCATGCAACAGCATAGCGCTGTCATTATCACTCAGTGACGCAGTCAGATTTCTTATGCTTAAGTTTCCTCAGCAGTGCATGACAAACCTGATGCAAGAGGCAGAACTAAAATAGGGTGACTCAGTGCACAAGTATGTGGCGGGAAGGTGCTTGTTTCAACGTGGTATTGTGTAAAGCGCTATATGGACAATGAATTATTACTAATTTGTAATTATTACTGTAGCTACTTATAGCATCCAACAGGAAAGCTGCACAGCTACCGTTGTGCGTGAATCATATGTTAAGTATCGAGAGTGGTTTCAGGAGTACAGGACGATGGGAGTGGTCGCAACACCACGATGGAATTTCGCATTGGCCTTGGCATACGTCGGACAGCGAATGGCGATCCCGGTCACTATTGTATGTCGTGGTCGTACGAGGCAGAGCAAGAGGTGTGCTTCAAAGGCCATGAGAAGATACGGTGCTGAGGTCTTTTTCTGTCGGAACCAGTCGGTCCAGGTAAGCGGTTGAAAGCGCCAGCGAATATCTAAAGAACCAAACACAAATTTTCCCGCACAAATGCACCCAGGCATCTTTCATATGAAATTTATTGTTCGCACTGTTTCAAAGCGTATTCTGAAGATGGCATAATCTTTTCCATGGCTCTTCATTTCTTGCCCACCGAAACATTGTGTTCAGTTTCGTTAGAAGTTCGTCCGTTTTGTGACCGCAGCTCAATCCTGTCAAGAGATGTCGCATTAAATTGGAATATAAGGAATCTTCAACTCCTATGCCTTTGTGATGTTCCTTTCAGAAGTGAGTGTGTTGAAATGGAATGTGTAAACTTTACGAAATATCTGAGGATAGTTCCATCACAAGATATGTCTTGGTCCAAGCATGTGAAACTGAATGTTGATAAAACGCAGAGGAGCGTCTACTATTTTATTCGTCTGAGGTAAGTGTGTGGGGGGGGGGCGGCTCTAAAACCAACTCATCACTTCTACAACAAAACGTTCTTTCTTCTGTTTTAATTTA